TCTTGTACACATTGTGGCCACAGTTTCCTCCAAGCAGAGTTCAAAATCCTGCAAATCACTCCCTCTCAAGCCTTACCTATAAGGTTTATGCAACTGAGGATGATGAAGTGATCTTTCCAAAACTCTTTTAGGGTCAATTGAGTGTCTGAGGTCACTTCAAAGCACTTTTGAAACACTGCTTTTGTGTAGAGTTTTTTTGAAGATTGAAATGACCTGCTGGTCCATGGGCTGGAGGAGAGGAGTTGTATTAGGAAGCAAAAACTTAACTTTAACAAAACCAAACTCCCCTGCAATATCCTCTTGCAAGTCGTGAGGATGAGCAGGAGCATTGTCCATTACCAGGAGGCACTTGAGTGACAGTTTGTTTTCCTGGAGGTATTTTGTCACAGTGGGGCCAAACACACCATAAAACCAGTCCAAGAAAAATTCCCTAGTGACCCATGCCTTACTGTTTGATCTCCACAGCACAGCACATTACTACACAACATTAATGTCAGCCTGTCTTTCATAGGCTTATGTCCTTGGAGTGCCTTTTCCTCCTGAGTAATATAGGTCCTGTTAGACATTTTCTTCCAAAACAGGCCTGTTTCATCACGATTGAACACTTGTTCAGGCTTTAAGTTTTCAGTCTCTATGTTTTCCTTAAAGTCCTGCACGTATTTTTCAGCCGCTTTTTTGTCTGAACTGGCAGCCTCACCATGCCTTACCACACTGTGTATGCCACTATGATTCTTAACCGTTTCAGGGTCCAGAAGCCAAATTTCAAAGTGTGCACCAGGGTCCAAGAATTTAAAAAAAAATTTTGTTATTTTTTCTTATGAAATGGTAGAGAATCTGTTTCAGAAGGTAATAAAATAAAACGTGTGAAATTTTATGGAAAATTTACGAAATTATGCTCACGAATTTTTATGTGTCAGCGATATTTACGCATTAGTGATTTTACCAACTTTGACTCCCATTTTAGGCCAATTACATTATTCCAGTCGAGCAAATTCTTAGCTATTTCACTAGTATTACTTCTATTCTATCGATTGAGCACATGAAATTGCCAAGTCAACTGTTTGAACTACAAAATAAAGTGAGTGGAAATTGGTAATTTGACCAATTTAACGGAAAGCTCAAAATATTCCAATTTCAAAACAGGGTCCAGAATAAACAGTGCAGGCATTCATTGCACTAAAATAACATTTCCTCTGTTCATTAGTTACATTTTCTGGCTTTACAAATGAATTCCATTTTGATTTTTTATTTACAAAATAAATTTTTATTCAAACCAAAAAATAGAAGATGTACTGTTATGCAGTATTGTAATAATTGTATAAATATCACCACATTTGTGAATGTATATTAGACCCACCGGCTGGTGTGTATTAGACGTGTGAGGTCATTTGTTTACTCTTGAACATTGGCAAAAATTTAACATTTCCACTAGTTTGAGCTCGAGTTGAAGCCATTTCCAGTACTAAAACCAATCAAAATCATTTCTATTTCTGTAATATATCTTCCATTCTATCAAATGAGACCAAGAAATCACAAATGCAACTATGAGAAACATATGAGAAAACACTGCAAAGTCGCTGTTTCAATAAAAAATTAGTCTCAGTTTTTTCTCTGATTATACACTGTGTGCTGCAGGATTTGTTTTATGTGGTGCACACATACCACATAGATGTATTCTCTCATATTTAGGCCCAAATTTACCACTCACTGCTTATCAGAGTGAGCTAAGCTCATGGCGTAGATCTACGGTTTGGACCCTCAACTCAAAGCCTTAGAACTACGGCATGGACCCCTGAAAGGGTTAAATCTCTCAAACCAGCCTTTGCTGGCCTTAAATTCATCAATATCATCACTATTTTGAGGCATTTTCTTAATGAGATCATCATGCAACTGCCTTGCCCTTTCACAAATAGACTGAGAAACACTATCTCCTGATAATTGTTTTTCGTTTATCCATACCAATAACAGTCTCTCTACCTCTTCAATTATTTGCAGTCCCCATTTTGAAAACATACCTGCACCTTTCGCAACAACAGCTTCCTTGATTGCCTTTCTGTTCGCCAAGATAGTACTGATGGTTGAATGGGGTTTGTTGTATAGCCTTTCCAACTCGGACATACGCACTCCACTTTCGTATTTTTCAATTATCTCTTTCTTCATTTCCATCATAATTCTCACCCTTTTAACACAGGCTTGGCACTAGAAGCTTTCTTGGGACCCATGGTGGCTTATTTAGCGGTTACAAACACTAAAAACACTGGAATAATTCAAAATATATGGCAGGTACACATGGAAGCGACCGCAACAGCTTGTTGACAATGGCACACTGAGTCTTGGAGTGGCTGGGCCTGCTCAGGCTGCGCTCCCACCGCATGGACACGTTCCAGATGAACGCATTAGACGAGTTTTTCGCTGTTGGTAGAGCCATTTTTTTACGCCAAAGAGCGCTGTTTGACAAATTTGCCATTGGGCAGGGGTCCACTGTAATGAGAAGTCATACTGAGAATTGTAAAGAAAACCGAATGTGTTAAGGGGAGTCACTGGGTCAAAGGCGGATTGTACACATTTTCTCTGGTGCTGAACCAAAGAAAACAAAATTTTTTTCTTCCGCCTGGCTACCAGACCTCATATTTATGTGAAATTTATTGTACTGTGGGTGTATGTATCATGTTTATATACTATGTAACCTGTTTCTTTCATAATTTTGAAGAAAATATCATAGATGGATTAATGAAAATGTCTATATTAAAGTGAAGATATTTAATGTATTACTATTATTATTATTACTATGATGTCAAGACTGTAGGGGCACTCTTAGTGATTTTAATGTGTACCTGCATGCCAGCACAGTCTAAAAGTTTATTTAGGTACAGGTACACATAAGTATAATTATCAAAGTACATATAAAATATGTAATAACTTTAAAACCCTTGAAATTTTGGAAAGTTTCCAGACATATTGGAGAGATGCGCTCACAGAGAATGTGAACAAACTGGGTGGCGTGCAGTGACCATATTAGAAAGTCAGGTGGGGGGAGCTGTATAGCAAGTTTTGGATGTAATTTGAAATGTCTGTATTAGCGGAATGCCACAAGGCAAAACACCATAAAGCAGGGCCCTACTGTATGTACATACACACACATATATATACATACCTACTTTTGTACCTACTAATTAATTCCTGAATACGCATGGAGTATAAAAATTTTGTATTTAATATAGGTCTAGGGAAGTTGGGGTGTTGAACCAGGGTCCCTCTCAAGTATGTCTTTCATGCTTTCCTTCATCACTAGGCCAGAGCTCAACATTGCATAACTCATTAGATGTAAGATTTATGTAAATTCTTGTTGCTACTATTTTTTCTTATTGGTAATTTACTTTACCCCCAGTCATGCTCACATCACCTCTGGAACTTAGTCCTATTGGGATGATTCATAGTGGTCACTGGACCCCACAATCAAGAGAATATTTACCACTGATGAAAGAAAAAGATTTTCTTTGCTGTAGTGACTAAACTGAGTCACATTAACCTCCTCCTTTCATGCAAGTATTCTTATGTTGAGCGAATTACATGCAAACACTTGTTAGGATTGTGAACATGATTGATGAGATGCAGGGATGCATAATAATTACATATAAGATTACAGATTAGGTGGCAGGGTATATATTGGTAATAAAGTGAAAAGCATGGTTTTACAGACTATATTTATGTAAGCAAGACACTAAGGGCATTGTCAGGGGTCAGTGGATTTACTACAGCATAGAAAACTTCTTTCCTTCATCAAAGGTAAGCATATTAGTAGTTGGTTAAAGCATGCTTCTCTTCACTAAATGTAAGTACATCCTAAAACGTAAAGAATTTCACATACCATATCTGATTACATTTGATATAGTAGATCCTTGAATAAAACGGTAGTTAACTTCCTGAAAATGGCATCTTGAGCTTTTAAAAAAAAGTGTTAAGCAAGTTAAGGACATGTGAGAAAAACAGTTATATTCCTTGGACCCAAGAAATGCCAAACAGATTTTTTAAAATTTCATATTTCATCAAAAATTATGAAGTTTTAACACCTTACATTGTAGATGTTGTTGCGTGTTGATCTAGAAATACGTTATGTACTCACATCCTAAATGTAAACTTAGTTACAAGGCCTGGGGAAGCTGGTGTTTGACGTAGCATACCGTCATTTCCTTCCAGAGAAAATGATGTGGTATTTGTCTAGAGAAAATGGGTATGTCTAATATGCTGACAGTGACTGTTATCAATTTAATGCACACTTTTATCAGTATAAAATATGCAAAAAAAGTAACAAAGAATTTTACCCTTCCTTAAATTCTTTGATGTAGAAGTGTATGGAGATGATTATATATCTCAATAGATGAGGAGGCTACTGTGGGGTCACCTATATTATTAGTTGACACCATTTGCTTGCTCATAAAGAAGTGTTTGGAGATAATCATGTAACTTCTGAGCACTACATGGCTGAGAGTCGTCTGTTTGTTCTATCACCTGATGCCACTCGTACATTTCATCACATGATGCTATTACACAATTTGCTATGTAGTTTTCTTGTTTATAATAATGACAAGCAATAATTTTATCCTTGGTTTCTTGCTTGTTGATAAAGAAATGTTTGGAGATGGTTATGTGGCTGTTGAGTAGTAGATAGCTGCAAGTCATTTGTTATATCAGCTGAAGGCTGAGAGTTAGTCATCTGTAGAGGTTAAGAGGGCCATTTATAGCATAAGCCATATTAAGCCAGAGTCAACCACTGACTTTTTCTAGGCCATGTAAATCTCTGGACAGAAAGGTTTTTATGTCTGAGCCACCTTTATAAAACTTTTACAGTATGCTAGTCAACTTTTACAACATTTATTTCAAATTTATGTCATATTTTCTCAAACATATTACCTCAAAAAAGTACTGTTTAAATGCATTGTATTTGAGGGTCTACTGTAGTTGTAATATTCTATTAAGTAACCTTCGAACTTTTCTTACAGGACAATGACTCGAGAAGATATAGCTGTGATGCAGGAGCGACGTATGACTGGCCAACAGAACATTTGTGCTCCTCCACCACCACCCGTACCTGCCGGCCATCATCGCACAAATTCTGCCCCTAACCCTCCACCTGCAGTACCTCCAGCACCTCCTGCACCCACTTCCAGTGGCCCCCCTCCTCTTCCTAGTGGGGGTCCTCCTCCTTTGCCTTCTGGTGGGCCGCCTCCTCTTCCTAGTGGAGGACCCCCCGCACCTCCTGCACCTCCAATGGGTGGCCCACCTGCCCCCCCAGCACCTCCAATGAGTGGCCCTCCACCTCTTCCTTCAGGCGGGCCTCCACCTCCTCCAGCTCCCCCAGCACCTCCCATAGGTACTGCTCCTCCACCCCCTCCTCCTCCTCCAGGGGGACTAGCCAGATCACAGTCCTCTTCAGATGAACCTTACGGCAACAGTGGACTAGCTGCTGCAATTGCGGGTGCCAAATTACGCAAGACTCGTGCTCCTGATAGTGAGAGTACAGGTTCTAGTAGTTCAGGGGGTAGTATTGGCCGGGGTTCTGGTGAACGGCCTGCATTAGGAGGCATGATGAGCATGATGGATGAGATGGCAGCCACACTAGCACGACGCAGGGCTAAAAACAAGGACCCACCCTCATCACCTACACAGTCACAGGTTAAAAATACTTATTGTATAATTACTGTTTTAATGCTTGTTAATATTTATAATACATTCACTGTGTAAAAATCTCAAATTACTACTCACAGGTTAAAAATACTTATTGTATAATTACTGTTTTAATGCTTGTTAATATTTATAATACATTCATTGTGTAAAAATCTTAAATTACTACTCATTATAGTTGTATGTTAAATAACTCAGGAATATAGGTACAGTGTATAGTGAAATAGAAAATGTATGGGCCTTGATCTGACCTCCTGAATTGAGACAGATAGATTACCACTACATAAGGCAGACTACTGAAATTAAAAGATTTTTAACCAGTACTCTTTACCTAGAGTCTACCTAGAGGTAGCTTTGAGGTCAAGCCTCCATGACTCAATGGATGGTCTGATCAAACAAGCGGTTGGAACTAGCTGTATGCAGTCGACTGTATGTATCACATCCTTGCTGAACTGATTTGAGGAACTTGTCAAATTTCCTATTGAAGTCAGCCAGGTGTACTTGTAATTTCCTGTATGGATGAAGGGAGGGTGTTGAAAAATCTTGGTCCCATTATTCTTGTTGAGTTATCTCATGGTACCCTTGCTTTTTAATCCTTTTCCTAGGGTTGTGATAAGTTACTCTGTTTGTCACAAATTATTTTTTTTTTCAAAACTTTTACTGTTAGTGCTAGTGCAAGATAATATTTGGACATATGACGTTTTATTCTTATACAGGAGGCCCCTCCTTCTACAGCAGGTTAGGTTCTGGACTACTGCTGTAAAGCAAAAATTGCTATTAAGTGAAACAGCCTTTTTCACTTTCAAATGCATATAAAAACTCATAACATGTTTACTTTCTTTCTTTCAACACACTGGCCATATCCCACCGAGGCGGGGTGGCCCAAAAGGAAAAACGAAAGTTTCTCCTTTCACATTTAGTAATATATACAGGAGAAGGGGTTACTAGCCCCTTGCTCCTGGCATTTTAGTCGCCTCTTACAACACACATGGCTTACAGAGGAAGAATTCTCTTCCACTTCCCCATGGAGATAAGAGGAAATAAACAAGAACAAGAACTAGTAAGAAAATAGAAGAAAACCCAGAGGGGTGTGTGTATATATATATGCTTGTACATGTATGTGTAGTGTGACCTAAGTGTAAGCAGAAGTAGCAAGACATACCTGAAACCTTGCATGTTTATGAGACACAAAAAAACACCAGCAATCCTACCATCATGTAAAACAATTACAGGCTTTCATTTTACATTCACTTGGCAGGACGGTAGTACCTCCCTGGGCGGCTGCTGTCTACCAACCTACTACCTAGATAACATGTTTACACTATCATATATTTTGTGAGCAATAGAGATAGGCCTAAAAAATGCATATACAGTACACACATTACTTACCATAAAATATTTTTGTCCTTAGCTTATAGTGCATGGTGAATATATATATTGTAGGCAGCCTGAATAAATAAAGAATGGGTTAACAGTAGGGCCCCACTTTACGGTGTTCTGCTAATACTGACATTTCAAATTATGACCAAAACTCAGCTATATGGCTCCCCCCACCTGACTCTCTAATACAGTCATGCGCCACTTGATTTGTTTACATTCTTCATGAGCTCCACGTCTCTCCATTATGTCTGGAAATTTTCCAAAATTTCAAGTGTTTAAAGTTATTTCATACAGTGGAACCTCAAATATCGAACTTAATCAGTTCCAGGAGCTAGTTCTAAATTCGAAAGTCTGAAAAGCGAAGCAATATTTCCTATGAGAAATAATGGAAATACAGTTACTCCGTTCCAGAAACCCAAACATATTCACAAAAAAAAAAACATTTTATAGAGATTAATTACAGTTTTACATACACACAACAAATATAGTGTTCAATTATGTATTAATAAATGTAAATAAACATATAAAATAACATTTTTACTTACCTTTATTGAAGATTGGTGATGGCATCTGGAAGATAGGGAGGAGGAGAGAGGGAGTTGGGGTTAGTGTTTGGTAGGAGAATCCCCCTCCATGAGGACTTCAGGTATCAAAGCCCTCTGGGGTTACTTCCCTTCTCTGTCTTTTAATGCCACTAGGACCAGCTTGAGAGTCACTGGACCCCTGTCTCACAAAATAATTGTTCACAGTTCTCTGTTTCTGGCGCCTCTTTAAGATTTCCCTAAAATGTGACATGGTTTTGTCACTGAACTTGTTGCAAAGATGGCTTGTTTCAGCTTGCTCAGGGTAGTACTTCTGCACAAACATTTGGACATCATTCTACTTGGCACAGATCTCCTTAATCTTTGAAGAAGGCACCTCATCCACTCCCTCTTCCTCCTCCTCTGAAGCAAGGTCCTCAGCTGTGGTCTGATACTGTTCCTGATGAAGCTCTTCTAGCACTTCAGTGGTTAGCTCTTCCCTGTGGTCCTCCACCAACTCTTCTACATCCTCACCACTCACCTTCAGCCCCAGGGTGTTCCCCAGTGCCACAATAGAGTCCACAACAGGCAGAGGGTCAGCTGGGTCAGGGGCAGGGTCAGGGTCAGGGTCAGCCTCAAACCCTTCAAAATCCCTCTTTTGGACACAATCTGGCCACAACTCTGTCTCCAAGCAGAGTTCAAAGTCCTGGAAGTCACTCCCCCCTAAGCCTTACCTATAAGGCTTATGGAGCTGTAGATACTGAAGTGATTCCTCTAGAACTCTCTTAGGGTCAACTTAGTGTCTGTGGCCACTTCAAAGCACTTTTCAAACATTGATTTTGTGTAGAGTTTTTTGAAGGTAGAAATGACCTGCTGGTCCATGGGCTGGAGGAGAGGAGTGGTGTTAGGAGGCAAGAATTTCACTGTTATAAAACTGAAGTCCCTAGACAAGAGGTCTAATAAGTTTGGAGGATGAGCAGGAGCATTGTCCATTAACAGGAGGCACTTGAGTGGCAGATTATTGTCTAGGAGGTATTTTCTCACACGGGCCAAACACTTCATGGACCCACTCTTT